ATGGGAAATATGTGTGTGAAGTCAGGGACATTAAGCTGCTCTTGAAGAACAAAACCAAAATCTGTACAACGCTGCTAGATTGTAGATCTATTCCAGTCCATTATGGTCTGGCACTATCAGAGTTACTGATGGGCATGAAGTTGAAGAGTCAGCTCCCCATCCTAAAGAGGTTTGATTCCACATTTACACCTCCAGAATTATCAAAACATATATAATAAGGAGCAGTCCTATCAGGCACAGTAAGCTACACACTGCAATAGGTGCTCTTGAATGAGACTGTTGTCACATTTAGGGACAGCAGCTATGAGTCCTGAATCCTAACAGAAATGGTATTGGGACTTGTAAATGGAGCTGCAGGCCAGCATAAATTGTATATTGTTTGTACTACCAAAAGGATTGCACAAAGGATCCACAAGAACCTTATCCCTTCAGGGCTCACCACTAATGAATTGGAACAAATCCAAGGAGAAACTTGGTAATGCAAGGGCACTACAGAATACAGTCTATTCAAGAGGAGAAGAAATGTCAACTTTCTCCCATCCAGGAAAATACCAAGTTCAAAGAATACATTCTGGTAGAATACTGGAACCCCCAGATTTCTGAATTTATATATTTCAGGCACTTAGGGGAAGATGGGGTAGTGGTAACTGTAGTTATATACTTGAATATTTAGTATTCATAGTGGGAAAAATCCTTGGATGGAAATTGCTTATATAAGTCTAAGAAAAAGTTAAACTGAGGAGTGCCATAAGCACCTCCCACAATGAAGATGTCATATGGACTTGTGGGCAGCACAGCCAAGGAGTGACACCTAACATTTGGTTCTCCTCAAAGTCTCTGTAACAATGTCTATCAATTTAATGCAACCTGTAACTATTTGCTAATATGTAATGAACTATACCATATTAACTACAAGAGACTCTTCTAGTTAGAACAGGAAGTGGTTTCCTCTACACCATTAGACCAAGCTGGTCCTGTAGTTTTCTACAATTGCATGGGATCTTGGCAATTACCTTCATCATGAGCTGGCATGCCCATACAACATCTTGTCCCGAGAAAACCACAGAACATTGAACTTAAAATGCTTTAATAACAAACTTAATTGTTACTTAAGGATTTACAAATAACTGGATCTTTAATTTAGTTACTTTAAAAGCATTTGATGAAAACATTAATGATATAGAAAAATATTCTAAAACTACAAAATAACAAACAAGCATAAGCTCAAACTGCCTGTGGCCATGCAGCTTCCTGGCTCCCAATAGTAATAGCAATAAATTGTAAAAGCTAAAAGCTAACTTAGATTCTGTTCCATTTTACAAACCATACATGTGAATTAATCTTATAACAGCATGTGGTCCTCACACTGCTCCAACCTTGACAAGTCTAAGATCTTTTACTGCTCTCTATGAATTGACATGACCAGAAATGTATGTTAAAATCTTGGATGACATGCCATTTCAAATAATTTTCTTAATAGATATCCTGGTGCTCAAATAGTTATATTTAACTGATTTGACAATTTTCACCAAGTCTCTTATATTGATTTTGTTAAAAAATCAATGATTAATGTGTTACAAATATTTTTCTCCTTATTACAATTTCTTCCCCCAATATCAGACATAAGGATAGTGTAATGTACTTTATATTAATTAATTTCACTTCTTTCAAGTGCTTCTTTAAAACAGTTAAGATTTTAAAATGTTGGCATTTTTAAACGAGCCCTTCTCTGACGTTGCCACATTTTTGCTTATTTCTCCCAATTAACTTGATGGTCAACTCCAACCTGGTTGATTAATCATACATTGCTTTGCCGTTTGAGTGCAGCAAACGTTTATGCGTTCTTCCTGTACCCACCTGAACCAAAATGCATCTTGTAAACACACACACACACACACACACACACACACACACACACACACACGATCATAATTACTTTCTACAATTTGATTATTGTAACAAATATTCATTAAAGGACAAAGATTTTGTTTGACATAAAGTAAAGTTTAATACTCAGTGTTTGAATCAATAAGATAGAAATTGCTGTCATTAGAAGTTGTAATATACTTGGGCCAATTTCATTTCTCTGCTGTTTTAAGGAATGCCACATGAACACATTAATTTTAAAATAATAAGGATAGGAATTTGCTTTGTATGCTTCAATAATGCCAACATTCATTTCTGGATTAACAGGATTATTAGTGTAGACCAGAATCTTAATTATTTGTCATAATAGAAGGGAATTTCCCAGAAGATTCAAAAATCACCTTGTAGATTCTTTTTTCAGAGTTCACTGAACTGAGGCCATATCCGGAGCTTTGTGAAATAACAGCTCCCAAATAAATGACCATAGGATGAACTCTCCTCCAAAAGAATGGGCATGGGATGAACCAACAAATTAAAGACCTGCAAACTTTACTCCCACTGTTTTTAACTATTATAGGGATAATAGGGAGTAATTTTATGAGTCATGAGCTAATCCAGGATAATCAGTCTGGTTTTACAAATGGGTTGTTGTGCTCAGCTAAGTTACTAGATTCCTTTGAATAATTTACAGATTTCATACGTCTGATCAACTAGAATTTTGGGACAGTATTTGATACAATCCCACATAATGGCCTATTGCTAAGGTCTAAGCCCAATGTGATACAAGAAACGTATTCAAAAGTGGCTGGTAAAAGGTTGGTTGGTTGGCAAAACTTAGCCAAGGGTGGTGAGGGTCTGGAATGCACTGACTGGGAGGGTAATTGAGGCAGAAAAAGGCTGTAAAGTTAAAAATTATTTGGATCAGCACTTGAAATGTCTTAACTTTCAAGGCTACTGATCAGGTGGTAGAAAGTCGGACTAGCATAGATTTAGTGTAGCTTTGGCAGTATAGACCCAAAGAGTCGAGGGGCCTCTTCTGTACTGTATGATTCCATAATTAATCAATAATAAATTAATAAAAGCTGACATATAACACGTAACAAAAAGACTTACTGTTTCCCATAGCATAAATATACATTTTGTATAATTTACTTTTGAAAGTTGTATTTCCCCAAGACAGAGATAAGGGGTGCAAAATGAAGAATTCATAACGGATCTTGTACAGTTCATTTTGATGAACAAAGAATAGGGCAGTATTGAAATATTATACAACTATCCAATACTGAAACATTAATAAAATAGCCTGGTTAGAATGTATTGGAAATGATTCATGTGTGTCAGGAACTAATCATAATAAACAAACATTTAAGTTAACCAATTAGTGTCGACAGTTATACTAATTCGAGATAGGAAAGTATGAGTTAAGAGTTTAAAAATGAAAGTTTGTGTAGACATTTGTTAACCTATTATCTCGTGCTAGGGAGAGGAGAGGGCAACACACTTCAGCCTGGTTATTTGAAAGAATCATAAAAAGTCTGTTTCATTGCTAATTTAAGCTTTACCTCTTTTTACTGTTCTTTGAAATATTGTCTAACATTTTAACTTGTTACACTTCTACCTTTCGATGTTCAATAAACATTTTGAATTTGCAATCTGATGTGTTTGGACTCACTTGATGGTTAAGGCTCATAAAAACCTAGATAACTTACAATTGGGGATTCTAGATAGTTAAAACTTCAAGTCAGTTATGAATCATTCCAAAAAAATGAAGATAAATAAATCTTTCCACCAATTATCCTGATCTCCAACACCCCCATTCAATTTGATGCAAGTCATGATATTTGCCCATGGCCATGATTGCTGCCTTCAGCTAGTGCTGTACATGCTGTTGAGTAACTGCACACTTTAACCAAGAGCTCCCAAGATCGTGACAGTTTAGGATCATTTCAAGCCAGCTTGCATCGCTAAAAAGGGAAGGTACATTCTAGCTGCAGCAAGTGAAAAAATGTTTGCACAAGCCACTGTGGCATTGAAAAACGATTGAATAATTGGACAACATCGGAGACAGCAGGCTTCAAGGTTCTTTGAAGAATGCATTGGACGCCTTTTTGGAGGAGCTGGATAGGAGGAGAGAAGTGCTGTAAACCCAGGAAGTGCTCCAGTCAAATGCTGATTTTCCAATGCAAATGGTCCATAAAAATATAGACCGAATTACTAAGTTTTTTAAAAAGTTGTGTCACGAGTAAATTATATTGTGAACAAAGACCCAGTGAAACTTAAGGAGGAATGTAATTGCGTTTTGATGAACTTAAAAGAAGCGTGCAAAACTGGTTGTTGTTGGGCTCTTTCACCTTGTCTATGGTGTGGACATAATGAATAGGATTCATTATGATTCAAAGAACAATCGAACTACAATTCAAAGAGCAGACACTAAAATGGTATTTATGGTGTTTACACAAGATTTTACAAATATCTGATCATGTGGATAAAACTCCAAACAGGAAATTCAAATCCAAACAAAAACCTTTTTCAGCTGGGGGGAGGTGGGGGCGTCGGTGGTGGTGAAAAATGTCAGATAGTAAAATGAATGAGTGCCTTTTTGAAAATCCAAAACACTACTAAATTTAAATTCAATTTCTCACATGATAGTCAGTCTTGTGTGAAGAAGGAGTGCGTGGTCAAAGGGTGAAGGAGATATCAGAAATTACCAATGGTTACATTATGCCAGAAGCCTCATAAAATAATATGGGCATTAACCTAATAGCCAGCTCAAGTCATGGTTCAATGTACATAGTCCTTTCCTTACTTCATGCATTAATCTTTTTGTTTGCATAACATAAACCATATCTATCAGGACTTGACAATTTCCTTAAAGTGATATGTCAGTAAATACCGAGATATTTTGAAAATCAGGTTATATTGAAATATAGATAATTAATGTGTTCATTTCAAATTCTTGTACTATTTCATTGAAAGCATTTATTTATTATTATAAATGCCTCCAAAGCATTCAGTATTTGTAGGATAGTATTATACAATGTCATTATCTGGCTGACAGACATCTTCAATAAACACAAGCAGGATACATCTCATTCTGCACAATTTGAAAACCATTGATTTTCCTGCTTACCTACCTCTCAGTGCTGTTTATACATTCTGGAAGAGCAATGCTGCAACCAAAGAGCATGATATGTTGATAGCAGCGCAAGAGGTTAAGCTGACTGAAGAAGCGGATGAACATTTCCATGTCTGTGTTGCTGTAGTTTGAAAGATAGTATGGTACAGTAGTCTGATTATAGGGCAGTATTTCACACAGGCTGTAACTTAAATTGTTGCAAGTACCTGTAAGAAAGAAAGAACAACAAACACTTCAAATACTAATTTTTTTTTCAAAGGTATACCATCTACAAATTTTGCATTTTAGGTTGAAGACAATTTTGGAAGTTTGATGGCAAAAGCATAAATGTGTAAAATCATGTTTTTAAGATCCAAAAGCATCAAAAGCAGGGTTCTCAGCTTTGCTTGACTTTGTTGATTCATCCTCAAAATACAAAAATTATTTCAAAAAATACAGGTCCAAAATGAATATATAGTAAGCTAAATTTCCCAAATAAGCATTCTGAATACATATTGCCTAATACTTATAGATTTCCGAACTTCTATGAAAAGTAAAGGCACAAACAAGGTTACCTATTCAATAGGTAACACCAACATAGTAAAACGGTAAAATTCATATTGCAGACAACATAAAACAGCCATATAATAACAAGTAGAGCAACTTAATAATATGCTCATGATGTGAAATTGAAGAGTTTTATTCAGTCTATGGAGTTTGAGTTTGTACAGGAAATTATCTTACAAATGTAGTAAATTGTAAACAGATAGTGGCAGAAGGACAGAGAATTTATATGTGTACGTGTGAGAAATAATTCACTTTAGGATTAACTAAGTGGACAGGCAGTACACAATAAACCTAAATCTAATCATCTGACGGGGATTTAAGAGCAGAAGGACCTGAAACTGCATACTCACAAATCTTTGATTTTATAAGTGAATTGATAAGGCAGTTAAAAGAAAGCATGTGATTCATGGTTTTATAGTGTGGCATTGAATACAAGTACAAGGAAGTAATGTTAGCTCTTTACAAACTATAAATTAAGCTTCGGGTGGAGTATTGTTTAACATTTCTGGGTGCCATGCATTCAGGAGAATGTCAAGTTTTTGGAATGGGTACAGATGAGAATTACCAGATGAAACCAGAGACAAAGGTTCCCTTGGTGAATATTAGATTGTTTTCATTAAGAGCAAAAGTGATTATGAGAAGATCAAATTTAGGCATTCAGTATATGAAATAACTGCACAGAGGCCAATACCCTGTCACCAAGTCACCCCTTATTTACATCTGCACAATACATGGCTCTAACCAGCCAGCTCAGACCCAGTCCTTAGAATCAGGAGACCCCCTGAATCTCCTGTTCATATCTGTCTGCCAAGAATCCCTGATTGGTCCAGGTTAACAACCCCAATCAATGATCTGATAGAAAATGAAGTAGGGATGAAGTAAAATGAAGTAAGTTTTGCTCTGACTTGTGAGTCTGTAACCAAAGGTTTAACATCTAAAATACAAAACAGTGTACTCTTGTGCCCAGAAAGGATTTGAAAATTAATGTCAGAGCCCTCACATTCTCCTCAGTTGCCTCCCAGAGCAGCCTGGGAAACATCTCATCTGGGCCAGGGGATTATCCATTTTCAAGCCTGTTAAACTGGCAATATCTCCTCACTTTCAATTGTAATTTGTTCAAGGAGATCACAGTCCTCCTCCCTGATTTCTACATTAACATCATCCTTCTATACAGCAAATAGAGATGTACTCATTTAAAACCTTAACCATGTCTCTGATTCCACACAGATTGCACTTTGTTCCCCAATGGGTCTTGCCCTTCCCCTTGTTACGCTTTTGCCTCTAATATACATATACATTATATTTTATTTTATCCACCACCATATTTTCATGTCCTCTCTTTGTTCTTCTATTTTTTTTAAATTAACTCCCTACTCTTTCTATAGTTCTCTAAGACTTCTGCCTTAAGGCCTTGGTATCTACCACAATCGTTCCTTTCCTTTCCCTTATCCAAATCTTGTACATTCCTCAACATTCAAGTTTTTCTGGACTTGTTGGTTCTCCCTTTGTGGGAATATGTTGGCTCTTCACTCTCAATAATTGTGAGAAGTTATTCCAGTCCATAATTGTTCTGATTAACTATAAATGCAATTAAGTTACACAAGATGTTTTGATACATGCTAACGTGGAGTACAAGTCCATAGCTCTTTAAAAGTGGCCACGCAAGTAGATAGGCTGGTAAAGAAGGTGTATGGCATGCTTGCCTTTATTGGTCGGGGAACTGAGTACAAGAGTCAGGATGTCATGTTGCAGCTTTATAAGACATTAGTTAGGTCACACTTAAAGTACTGCATTCAATCTGGTCACCACATTATAGGAAGGATGTGGAGGTTTTGGAGAGGGTGCAGAAGAGGTTTACAATGATGCTGCCTGCATTAGAGAGTATGAGCTATAAGGAGAGGCTAGAAAAACTTGAGTTGCTTTCTCTGGAGTTGCGGATGCTGAGGGGAGACTTGAAAGAAGTTTATAAAATTACGAGATGCATAGATAGGGTTGACAGTCAAAATCTTTTTTCCAAGAGTTGAAATATCTATAACTAGGGAGCATGTATTTAAGGTGATGGGGGAAAGTTAAAAGGAAATGTGAATGGCAAATTATTTTTTTACACAGAGTATGGTAGGAATCTGGAATGTGCTGCCAGATACAATAGGGGCATTAAGGGACTTTAAGATAAGCACATGAATATGCAAGAAATGGACAGATATGGACCAAGGGCAGACAGAAGGGACTAGTTTAATTTGACATCATGTTCAGAATAACATTGTGGGCCAAAGGGCCCATTCCTGTGCTGTGCAGATCTATGTTCTATATAACATCTAGCTCCAGGTTAAATTTGGATTTTTTTTTACATTTCTATTGCCAGAAGGAGACAGCCGTTGTATCAAGCTCAGATTGACAAGTTCAGTGAGGCTGCCTTTAATTTATATGATTTCAGTACAATCAATTCAATTGGACCTTCGTCAATTCAAATCAGTAAAACTCCAGTATAGGGCCTTATAGTACATCAATTGTTCAAATTGTTTCAATTCACCTAGGGCTTAATTCCAGTACTTATAAAAACACTGGCAGAAAGAAGCATTAAACCAACTTTATGACTACAATTATGAAATGCTGAAGATTTTTCCACTCTCAAAACTATTGACAAATTGCCAACCTTATTGGATAAACTAAAACAAAATTCCATTTATGCAGTACAAAGTTATCACTGAAGGTACCAAACTAAATTTTCCATTTTTGTTTTATTTAAAAACCAATATTTTGCTGAATGAGTAACATTTGAAGTTATAACCAGTGGTTACAATAATCCAGTGGTTTCGTAAACTCAAAACATACTTTAAGTAGACACAAGTAAGCACTGTTATTTACTGATTTTTAGTATGTTTAATGGGCGGTATAGGGGAGGCAATGGCCTAAAAGTATTATCATGAGACAATTAATCCAGAAACCTGGGTAATGTTCTGAGGACCTGGGTTTGAATCCCGCCATGGCAGATGGTGGAATTTCAATCCAATAGAACCTGGAAATAAGACCATTATGATGACCATGAAACTATTGTTGGAAAACCCCATGTGGTTCACTAATGTCAAAGTGTTTAAACAGTCACACAGCATAGAAGCAGGCCCTTCAGCCCACCATGTCAATGCTGACCAACAACTAATCGCATTTACTTGCACTTGGTCCATAACCAACAATGCCCTGGCATTTTAAGTACTCATCCAGATGCTTTTTATATGTTGTAAGTACTTGCCTTCACCACATTTTCAGGTAGCATGTTCCGTATTTCTACCACCCTCCAGGTGAAGAAATGTTTTCTCAGATCTCCTCTAAACTACTTGCTCTTCATGTTAAAATTATACCTTCAAGTCTTAGACACATTTGCCATGGGAAAGAGATTCTCACAATCTACCTCAATCAAATACCCCCTCAGCCTCCTCTGCTTCAAGGAAATCAAACCCAGCCTATCCAGTCACTCCTCATAACTGAGACTTTTCACAGAATGGCGCTGGAGGAACACAGCAGGCCAGAAAATCTGAAGTAGGGTCCTGACCTGAAACGTCAACTTTCCTGGGTCCCGACCTGAAACGTCAACTTTCCTCCTCCTCTAATGCCGTCTGGCCTGCTGTGTTCCTCCAGCTCCACACTGTATTGTCTGAGAATGGTCAGGTGGGGTTGTTTATAACTGGCACAAATCCAATTTGCTAAAAGACCTTTTTCTGTGCTGTATGATTCTATGAACCTTGCAGTTGCAGTTAAGGAATGAGAAATGACAAATTTGCAGATGGATTTTCAAAGAGAATTGCAACTTTAAAGAACTGAAATTACAAAACATGGAAAGAAAGAAAAGGGAGAAAAAGGGAACATTATTCGAAAGAACACTTGAACTTTAAAAAGTGGAACTAGAAAGGCATGAGAAAGAAAGTGAATTTAAATTACAAATGATGAAGCTTAGACATGTGAGACCACAAGCTTGGAAGTGGAAATGCCAAGTCATAATCTCCAGTTTAGTTAGGAGGCATTCCCTATTTATTTCAGAAACCCCTTCCCCTCCCCCATTTCTGATGAAGGGTCTAGGCCCAAAACGTCAGCCTTCCTGCTCCTACGATGCTGCTTGGCCTGCTGTGTTCATCCAGCTCTACACCTTGTTGTCTAACATCCTGGTGAATCTCCTCTTACCCTCTCCAGTGCAATCAGGTCCTTCTGATAGTATGGTGACTAGAACTGCACATAATATTCTACCTGTGGCCTAACCACATCAACTGCTCTACCCTCAATGTATTTAGTCACCTTTTTAAAAAACTCAAATAAGTTAGTTAGACATGATACCACTCTAACAAATCTGTGTTGACTATCCCTGATCAATCCTGCCTTTCCAGTGTTGATTAATTCTGTTCCTCAAAAATTTTTCCAATAATTTCCTCAGAGGAGGGGTCACAGATGCTGCCAGAGCTTCTGAACTTCCCCAGCAATTTCTGTTTTTGTTCCTGAGGGTTTATGCACCTGTATGATTGATGAAACTCACCATCCAACTGAAATCCCCAGCTACAATGACTTTCTCCTCTGTGAATATAGATGAGAAATATTCACCTAAGACCTCGCCCATGCCTTCTGGCTCCATGCACAGATTGCCCCATTGGTCTCTAACAGGTCTCATTCTTTTCCC